CCAGTGGCGGGAATCGAACCATTTCACGGTACTATTTGCACCTTTAGTAAGTTACGCGGAGGTCGATTGGAAAAGCTCGAGGTTTCACGCGCGGCAACCCGCCTGCGAAAAGATGTACCGCGAAAGGCGAGAGTACGGCGAATACGGAAGACCGCGACGTGTTTTGTAGCGGGATCGGTTTTCAATAATCCCGGATGCGTTCAATATTAACGCGGGAAACGCTCACGTTCCTGACGTACGCGGGGCCCCATTGTACCTTTGGAAATGACACGATAATGCATTCCCGGGAATGTTTTTAAACTTTCCAGCGTTGCACGGCAACACGGAATCCTCCAGCTGTACCGGATAATCCATAAAATTCTTATTTCCTGAGTTCCGCGCTGTGGCTTGACTGAAACTTTTAAAATTTTCACCGTGCGTCGCGTCGCGCGCGATTCAGCCACGCCAGGTAGACGCGGTTGCTTTTGTTCGCGGAACATTTGGATTCGAAAGCACCTTTTCGCGTGCTATTTCGGCGAGATTTCCTCCTGCCCCTGTTATAGCTGCTCGTAAACGTCGATTCGTGCGGTGAACAAACCGTTAGGAACTTTCAGGTCGATAATGACAGCCGCGGCTCGTTCTTAGCACCGCCAGTCTCCTTGGGCCACTCTGTCGTGACGAATTCTCAAGAATTCGTAAACGTTTGGTATCGATATGCGCCGACAGAGGCTCTTTGAAGCAGGTAATATATTGCTTGCACGAAGATCTAACGTTAAAGATCTAACGAGAAAGGGAGATGGCCAGTGAAAGGACCTTGTATAGGAAATTCAGCCAGGGTATGAAGAGTCCTACAAAAGGATAGAACGAAGGGCGTTTCTTGTTGAAGGAAGCATATGCAAAGTTGGTTCTCCACATGTGGCGTTTGCATTCGACCGATCGAATTAAACTTCCAGCGAAGAGCTTCCGGGAATATAGCCGAAGGGAGATCCGATGTAGAAATATCTTAGCGCTCGACGAGGGTCTCTCGTCAAATTGACGGGGAGGAACTGATAAAAGGAGGCTCGGAGGGTGCCTGGCGCCAGAAACGAGGAAACCCGTGTCCTCGGGTTGCTTCATCCCTGGGTTTTCACGTACTCGCGAAAAACCTCTTTAGCCCTTCAGCGAGAACGACCGGATTACCGTTTTTGGCTTTCATCGCCACGAGTGAGGACATCCCCGCTTTTACTACGTCGACGCGCGGAATTCGTTTTTGATCCCTGTAAATTGTGATAGGGAAAGGAACTGATACCCCCGACGCTTCCTCTCCAGGAAAATTCCAGGATATTTTATTAAGGGAATCGTCGAGCCTCTAAAGCTTACAGTCTAAGCGATGGCCGAGCGAGACTTGCGCCACTGGCGAGGAAGGAAGACGTAGGGGTAGGTCACCAGAGTAACTCGCTTATCTTCAAAGATAGTCGAGAATATTTGAGACAGAAATTATACGATTTCAAGGTCATTTAATTTGTCGTTAGGACGAAACCGTCAATCGTAATTCCGAGACAGGTCACAAAGACGCTGACGCCGATACTCGGTAAAGATATTCTTCGGGAGGCTTTATGAAATCTCGACAAAGCATACCTGCTTGGAAAAAGGAACTCGTCCGGCTGTGTGTTGTGGTCAGGTATGCTGGGAATGGTCTCTATCCAGTGGTTCTTAACCTTTGGTCGCGAATGAATAGCGCGCTTGCTGTTTTCAAAACGCGTTTAACCGTTTACTTCTTATTTCTTTTAAACTGAGCACCTTCGTGGCTCTATTTCACAGCAGGTCAAAAACGCAACGAACGCTTTGAGTCGTTTCCATTCGTGGCACCTCTTAAACCAGGATCTCTATTTTACGCAGATATTAAATTTTTTTAATACTACTTTCAACCCTTAATTTGTGAGCCCTTCTCAAGCTGAGTATTTGTAGGTTATTTTTTAAGGGTATTTTTAGGCTTCCTTGGCAACCCATTCAGTGAGTCTTCCAAACCGACTCCATAACCATATTTTGAATATTAAAAAATATCAAACTGTAGAAAATACCAAACTGTTAAAATACAATTTTAAGACACTTCGCACCCATAGCTTTCCTAGGCTCATCTTACTTTTCAGCTTTCGTACGAGAGTAACCCTTAAGAATTACCGATCTACGCAGCGCGGCGACTGGCAGCCAGCATCTCGAGGGACATGGGAATATCGCTAGGATATTTGCGAGACCGTTTCAATCCTGGGCACGGCGTTCGAGTTTTTATTTCGTGGATCGAGGAAGCTGGGAAGCCTGGACGGACGGTTACGGTGTGCACATAAGAACGTACAATGTATTTTCACCCTATCGGCTGCAGTCCTCTCACGGCGTGTCGATATCCTCCTGTCCGAAGCCTTTGACCTCGGAATTGCCGTTCGCTTTTAAAGTCCCTCCTAGCCGTTTCTTTTCGACAGCGTTCTGATTTTTCCGCCCAGTCCCCTTTGCGGACATCCCTCTTCTGGACTTCCTCCGACCACCCTCCGGCATGGAAAAGTTGAGAAGCACGATGTAACTCGCGATTAATAAACATGTTATGGAAAAAATTCCAGAAGCAACCGTGGCCCCCGAGCCGTCCGTGGTAAAAACTTTTAAAGTCGAGGCAGCGTCGGGAACCGTAAACTTTTTGCATTTTTAATAATAACGTCCCCGCCGCCTCCTAATTGCCCGTTGCACTCATCGTGCGTGAAAAGAAGTCGACTTACGCGGTTAATTCATCGCTGGGTGTCCTGCGAAATAGATTTGTTTGCGAGGGTACGCGAGGCCACAGACAGAGAAAAATAAGGGTGTGTTCTGTGTTACGGAAAGAGTAAAGCACTTGAAATTCTATCGTTGGATCTATCATTCAATTCTATCAAACAACGACAGAACCCTCGGCAGTTTTTAGTTTCTCTGTCGTCATTTGGCCTCCTTCGATTCGGCCAATCGACCACGCGGGGAGCTCTCGCTTCGTTCGTCTCAATCTAGATTCACTCGCGCTCGGCCAAGCCCCAAAGATATATACGGGAATCCATTATGCGATTGGTGAATTTAGGTTCCCCGGCGGTGGCCTGGATCGCAAGATGTATTCGCGCGGCAGTCGCTTCGAGAACCGACTTCGTGATCTTTCTTGCGCAACGAGCGACATAAATCACCGTTCGCGCGATTCGGATACGCGCGATATATCAGTGACAGAATGTATTAAAAAAGAAAGAAACTGGGGTGGTATAGGGACGTCGGCGTCGGATCCGCGATGCCATGGCAATGTACCAAAACTTGATCCTCGCGGTGTGGTCCAGCGACGACGTGAAGTGCTGTAACGTTCTCTGTACAAACGTCGCGAGTTTAATTAAAATTTATCCATTTAGATGTAATTAGATCCTGTTACGGAAGTTGTCGAGGTTTCGTTCGAGAATTGCTGGTGGACCTGATTTCCTTAAACCTTGTATAACAGTTGGCTTACACGCGCTTTGCAAGTGCAATTCGGGTGCAGTTTTCACTTCCTGGGTCTCTAGATCCGCGATCCGAGATCGAGGTAGCGGATTTGGAGTCATGGAACGCTCGATGAAAACAAAAGGGCACGCTCGGATGACGCGAGTACAGGCGGAAAGAAAAGAGGTGTTACTCCGAACGAAATCAATAAAAGGATTCATCCACTGTCAAGAGCGGCGCTCCCGCTAAATTGGCAACACTGTGGCTGAACGGGCCTTAAAATCCTCGTAGGTAAGGGCGAAAGGTGGCACGAAAAGGGCCAAAGGAAGAGCGCGGATCCGACGAAGACAGCTTGCTCCGAAAACGCACGGCACAACGTTCGAGAGTTGCGAGAGAAAGAGGGTGAAAAGCGACAGAAAAGACGGACGGAGGAACGCGGAAAGGTAGGGAAATATAGGTAGGGAAAGCGAGATCGCGAGGTGGAGCGAGAGGGAACCAATAGCAAAAGAGAGCGGAACAGAGAGAGTAGGAACACAGTAGGGTAGGTGCAGGTAGCGAGGGGCTCGAAACTGGTCGAGTCGAGATACAATGAAATTGAAAATTATTCCTTTGAATTGAAATACTCGCTACTGTTACAGAGAATAGTGCTTGTAAGTCAAGGTATCGCTGTTCTTCGCATCAGAAATTAATAATAATTTTAAAAAGAATAGATAACTCGAAGTAAAATATAAATTACTCGTCGCTTTTTTTCAATTCTTGTTCGTTTCACTCTGTGGTTACTAAACAGAAATTGCTTATACATATACCCCAGAGGATTGAAACCTAACTCGACCATTTATGGATTTCATGTTCACCCATGAAAATATAGTACGGTTCCGCGGACTAGATTACACACCAAGTTTATCAGTTACAGAAATATACAGCCCCGTTTCCATGCTACCAGCGAGATTCTGGTGTATCTCTGTCGTATGCAGCAACCTAATAGGAAAGGCCAGCGACGTTGTAGCGGGAGTTTCGCGTTATTAGTTTGGAACGTATCAAATGTTCTCGCTGTTAATAGTCAAACTAAGCGTAACGACAAATGGATAAACTCTATTCGCGACCGATATAGTACGTTCGCACCAATTCCCAGCCTAAAAGCCGGATCCATTTCTATTGGCTTACCTCGGTCGAAGAATTCACTCAGCCCTTCCCTTAAGGGGTGGAATGGGTACTTGATATCTCCGTTGCTTTAGATAGACTCGAAGGTGAGATGAATTCGAAGGACTGTAGTCTCGTTACCTTCGAAAAGGTTTTAATTAACATATTTGTAAAAAACTTGTTAGCGTTAATTCTAATACAGTCCCACTGTGGAGTGGAGCAACAACTGGAAAAGTAAAAGTTGCTCCAAAGCTCGCGGTGCGGGAACGTCGAATGGCCATCGCTAGGGTTGGTCGGTGGGATCTGTAGAGGGGTAGGAAAGCGCAGGACGAGAGGGTTGGGAAAGCCGAAGCGTGGCTCCTCCGAGTGGGGGTAGTCGGTACCTCGAACGACTCCGTGGGTCTCCGGATCGCCCCGCCGCGTTCAGTCCGACCCGGACGTTCGAGGGAGACGCGTCTGTCTTCTGTGGCACGTACGCGTCGTATCGGTACGCACGTTGTTCGCCGTCGTGGCCGTAACGTAACAATCACGCTCGATCGTAAATAACTCGCCGACCGGGGAGGTCAACGTTCGACCGTGCCGATTATTATTCGCGGGTAGATAGACTCGACAGTGCGCGAAAAAATCTGGAGACGCGCGCTGACCGCATCGCACGAGGCTCGAAACGAAGAGTGAGAGGAAGGAAGAGAGGGAGAGTGAGAGGACACACGAGCACACCGTGGAAAAGAGGGTGGGAACGGCGAAGAAAAAGCTCTCTCTATCTCGACTGCCTCGCCGGCTTTCCACGGCCACGAATCGATACCACGCGACCGTCGCCGCCGTCGGTCGTTCCTCTCTCTCGACCTCTTCTCGTCGTTCGCTACTCGTGCCTACCAACCACGCTCGCGTCGATTTTTCCTCTCTCTTGACGCGCTCGCCGACTCGTGGTTGTCTCCTCACGGTCGCCGCCATTCCGCATCGACTGCACGAAACTTTTTTCACGGGGTATCGCGTGTCGTCGTGACTTCGAATTTTGGCGGTCGAGTTTCGCGCGATTGATGATCGACGTTCGATAATCGCCGCCACGCGAGAATGGCGCGACCGTAGTGGCGCGAACGTCGAACCCGCCAAAACAACCACTGGCTGCTGCTGACGGACGACGCAGCCCGTTCCCTCGTCGAGGATAGAGGACGTGAAAAGGTGATACTGGTGTTATCAGTGCGAGGCAGTGACAATAACGGTTGTCCTCGACCGCGTACAGTGCATTTATTTGTTCACGGAGGAGAATCGACTCGGCCGGAAGCCCCGTGGTGCGTTACTCTGTGTGGCACGTGACGATCGACGTTTGTTTGTTTTGGTGCTTACCGCCCACGGTGTTCGACCTGTTTCGGAGCAGTTAATCGAATCATCGAGGACATCTTGCGAAATCGCTGACAACTTTCGTCCAGTGACCAGCAGGATTTTCGCAACTGGATCGTTGAAAAAGTAAGTGATACACTTTTGTTTTCGCGCGGCGCGTGCACGCTTCCGGTGTTGGGATAGTACTCCGCGAGTCTTTCCACTTTTACTAGTCAAAACTTTTGATCAAACATTTTAAAACGACAGCATCGATGGTATCGTTGTTTGTGGAGGTAAAATACTTCTGAGATGTAAAGCAAAATCGATTGCGAAGCATTCTGCTTCGCATTTGTACGTTTGGAATGTTGTATGAAGTTTTTTTTTTCTAAATATCTGAGTCAGTTCGAGAGATATTAAACATCGCAAGATGGTAAACATTGGCGAGCAGAGGTGAAATTTCGTCCGATGGCACTGATGCATTTCTGTTGTACCCAATAACACGTTGGGAAAGTAAAAGATGAACCGGTGCTCGTTAAGCCTGTCGCGTTGCTTCCTCCGGTAATTCCGGCCTGAACTTTGCGCCCGAATTATTGTGCTTGTAAATTACACGCTTGGCCAAGGCCCAAATGGCCGATGCTGCTAATTTAACTGTACATTTTCATTAGCCCGTGAGCCAGCCTCGTTAATTCGTGAATCGCGGGACACGAGCCCGATAATTCGCACGAACGAAACGCGTTAAACCTTCAACATCTTCGCTGCTCCAAATGGATCTCGAATCGCGCGATCATCGCCACCGATTGGAGTCGTTCGAGACATCCTATCTGTAATTTTATTTTGTCCATCGCAAATGATAACGATGGGTTAAGATAGTAATCATGTCTGTAAACATTTTTCGAAGTTGAAGTATTTCTAGTACAGAGGTTGTGCATCCGCTTTGTTTTTAAAACACTTCATGTATTAATTAATACATTGACCGAATATTTTTTGTTCGATGTCGAGTTTTAATTGAAATTGCTGTGCCTGCTCACTGTTTTCCCAAAGTGAACAATTCTAAATAAATTAAAACTGGGTATGTACATTTTTTCAATTTAGTAATTGACTTACACACTTTGTTATACGGGGGAAGAGAGGTGTCTACAGGTACATTACCATATATGGTACTGATTCTACTCTTAATTCGTTTCGAGTACGCTCTATACACGGTTCAATTAATATACGCCATTCGTGAAGATGAGCGACTATTTTTTGATACATGCAAGTATTAATTGAAATCGCTCCCCGTGTTTCCATCGTGGAAAAAGAGACGCGTCGCTCTGTGGACCATCGTTTGACGACATCGAGGCGTGTGATTCAGTTGCGTTGAAGCTGATCGCGAGGAAATTCCCGGGCGGGCTTGAAATTCAACCGCAAAAGCTCGAGATCGAGCTGGCAGTCAGCTGGGTTGAGATCACGGTTTTTATGAAGGTATTTTTATCGCGCGCTTTGTCGTCTAAGCGCGTGTCGACAAAAGCCCGTGACGGAGAGCGCCGCCGGCGACTTTATAGATCGTTCACACGGCGAGATGTTTTGTTCCGCAACCGAGGAATTAATCGATCGTAAAGAGGCTAATGCGAACGATACGCCGGCCAGCCGTGCACCGTTGGCACATTTGACAAAGGAAAACGATATATCCATGCGGGCGTATTCTCTGTCCTCGACTCTTATCGTCTCACAAAAGACTTCTCTCGACCCAAGTAAACGTTAGTCCTCGCCAATCCTTTTTGGGGGCTCCGTCTCGTCCCAGAATTTCGGCGTTTAACCTTTTTCCGTTCGCCTCGACGCGGTAGATACCTGGCGGCATCGGTCCCTTTTTCGAGCACCTCTGTTTGGATTTGTTTCGGAGCGGGTAAGCTTAGATCAGGATTTCCACTGTGTATTAAAAACACATTGGGGCTTGATAGGGGACGATAGGTCTGTGATAAAAAAAAAAAAAAAAAAAAAAAAAATGTAGCTTACGATATATAGAAACGAAATTTTGTAATAAACGAAAGGTTCGCGGCTGCCAATGTTGAAGCGTCTCTCTTCGATAGAAGTTGGTAGCTCTCGTCGCATAAGTTTCCGTTAAACTCGATTTCAATCTCGAAAGCATTTCGTCCTCTTTTCCCAAGCTTGAAGTTCGCAGAAATTCTCGACCATACGAGAAGAGAATGAAGTGCGATTCGTGTTCCGCGGGAAATGCTCGGCGTTCTCTTTCATGGCCCTTATGGGTTTTCCATTGTCAGTTATTTGTTGTCGATATTTCTCAAGCGGAGCTGATCAAGTTTCGCGGCTCGTATCGACTCTGCCCGACCACTCCGTTCTTGCTAGGTCGAATTTATATTTTGCAATCTCCTTATAACGACCATTTCGAAGGCGTGTTCGAAACACTCGAGCATTCTTCTTTATTTGCCAATGGACTGCAAATAATTAAATCGTGGTTCGAGAAGAGTCACGAAGACGTTCCCGCAAATCTAACGCCAAATTGAATGGTTCGTCCTTGATGTAAACGCTAATGCTCGTGAATTAACGTTTCCATAAAAATTGGTGACTCCGTTTACCCCCCCCCCCCCCCCGCCGCCCTTCAGGCGAAATAGAGAAATCGATTTCGACCTGGCCCTTAATAAAAGGTCGGACGTCGAACGTTAGACGGCACAAAGATATAGGGTTGAGAATCTGTAATTTAGTTGGTCGAATTCTCGAGTCCCTCCGACGTCTCATTAGATTTTATCGCGGCAAGGTCTACGGCTACAGTCCAGCAGCGGATACTTGAGACTTTAATCCTGGCCCATAGTCGAGTCTCTGAAAGTTACATACTTTCGAAAAGTCTCGCTGGTTTCCATTGCCGTCCACGAGCACGCGACAAACTCGAACCCGCGACGTTATTATATAGTACACGATTCTACTTCATCGTGATCGGGTTTAAATTCCAATTAAAATAAAGTTTCAACGTCCAATCTGTCTGGTAATTTCTGATCGTAACCGGCGATTGTTTCGCAGTTTAAAAAGCGTCCTAAGCCGGGGAAAGCGTGTCTCAAGACGTAGTTTCTTCGGAACCGAATTAACTGCAAGCATTATTATTCAGTCTTAAAGCAGAGATCGAAACGTGAGGTCGCGCTTTTAATTTAAAATAAACGGTAGACCGCAGTTAGCCGTACAGATTAGGTCGAAACGTTAACAAAAAAAAAAAGAAAAAAAAAAGGTGACGTTTGGCGTTTCCGTTCCCAAGAAGCGTATTCCTTAAATATTTCAAGCCACGCGGGCTTAGAGAGTCGGACGCCAAAGAGATTTTTCTTTTTCCGTCGCGTCAAGCGAAGCGTAGCTTAGGATGATCGAACGGGTGAGTCCCTTTTCGTCGTGGACGCGACCGATGAGGTTTGCCCGTGTATTTATTTTTAGCCAGCCGAAGAAGGAAACAGCGAAGAGACAGAACTTTGCCTTATTGTTGGATTCTGTTAAGTTTGTTCGCAACTACGCACCGAGATATATAAAGTTTCCCGCGCTGCATCGTTCTCCCTCGTTCTAGCCAGCTATACCGCGCTTAGTACGGGAAGACAATATTGACTCGGTCGTTTCTCCCTTGAGAAGCTGGCAACTTTATTTTCAAGGGCTTTCGTTATCGGCGGTATCGACGAATCAAGGACGCCCGCGATCTCAGTTTTCTCCATCGTTTCGATTGCCTACGATTTCTACTGTGATACTTTTATCCGTTCCCTTTTTACGACGTCTTTACAACGATTTCAATTGATACACCAAAATTAGCGTTCAAATGGAGCATTTAACCCCCGGTCTGCGATCCTATTTTTACAAACGTCGTCTACACACTATGGTTTTTTTTAGTGTGCCAGGTTTCAAACAAGTCTACAGAAACACGCAAAGTGTAAAGGTTTGTTTAAAACTGGAAACATCGTCTTCCTCTTCATTGTTCGCAAAAGTATTTCTTCTGGGAGGTCTTTGTAAACGTCGCGCATTTGTTTTCCCCGCGGCGAGCGAGAAATCGATCGACCGGTTTCCTTGAACCCTCGTAATCTGTTCATCGGTACGTTTTTAACGAGCTGTGCAGGCAAACTTCTCTCGTCTTGTTTTGCCGGCCATAGCTTCTCAAACTTTGCCCGCCTATGAATAAAAGTGGAAACAGAAGTTCATTTCGAGGCAGAAACGCGGTTAGCGTAATGGGCTCGAGTCGAGATGCTCCGCAAATAGGGAGTAAGTGAAATAAAATGTAACGCACGAGAAGGTTTCAAGGTTTTTTTATCGTGATAATAAATTTCTAGTCGTTGAACATTGTCATTCAACTTATCGATTAAAAAATGGAATAAGCTGTACTGCTTTTCCAAACTGAGATGTACGCTGGAAAATGTAGAATTTCGAAATAGGAACTCGTTTGATGATATATAATTTCCTTCCTTGCCGCAGCACACGAGTGCGATACTTCTTTTTGAAATGGAACCATGCATCTTCTTTAAAATAAATCTCTTCTCCTCGCTATTCCTCGTATAAAAGTATTAAGGCATGCCCATTAAACGTGTAACGCGTTACAAGATATTTCACATTCTATGAAACTCTACAGCTTGCCCCAGTTTCTAAAATCACCCTATATTTCGTCTGCGTCTGTGTTGCCCGGCTGGAATGTATTCGCCTCGCTTTGGAAAGTAAATTTTCATCGGTGGTAAAAATTGCGCGTTACTATTGCGTTTAAAGCGTCATAAGCTTCGGGCGCATTTGCGTTGACCGTTATATTTCATCCTGCGATCGAATTGAATTTCCTGTCAACTCCTCTGTACGTGCCTGCAGAAGTAAACAACGGTTGCAAAGACGCGACATGTTGCACGTCGAATTGATTTAAAAGAGCACGCACAGCATGCAGCCTCGCCTCCAGCTAGGAACTGGTGACGCATCGAAGTGCATTCAAAGTGCATGCTGCGTGCTGTCGCAAACGCTGTTGTTTTCCGTGCAAGATATTTTTCTGACCTTATTCTGATCTTTATATGCTCATATATTCTTGGTTGCAAGCGTATTTTTATTTACGAAAATATCATTGTAGTGAAACAAATCAAATTAATAATAGAGATAGTCCTGATTACCCGCGTTTTTGTTCGAGCTTTAGGTTTTCTCTTATTCATTTATTACTC